TAGATAAAGACGTATTCAAGAACAGTCAGGCTTACCTAATTCCCTGTTCTAGGGATCCACCATAGGGTCTCTTCCACTAATATATTTGTTTGTCCATACAAGGTGTCTAATCTGTCCCTGGATGTGGGCAAACAACATGTGAACAGAACTATCACGGATGGATAGGGTTGCCAGATTGGGGTTGGGAACTACCTGGAGATTGGGGGTGGAGCCTGGGGGGGGTTTGGGAAGGGGAGGGATCTCAGTGGGGTATGATGCCATACAGCCCACCTTCCAAAGCAGCCATTTTCTCCAGGGGAACTGATGTCTGTAACCTGGAGACCAGCTGTAATTCCAGTTCCCAGTCCCCAGGTCCCCCCCCCCCCCCGGAGGTCAGCAACCCTATGGATGGAATCAGCAGCAATTCTCATGGAAGCAGCCAAAAATGGAAGTCCACAGATTTTGCTGCTGATCTGCGACTACCCACGTTAAGGGATGCAGAATTGGGGGCAGGCAGGACCGCATGTATAGGCAAAAAATGTATTTTGAGAACTGGCCTTTAGAGGCCCACTTGTTGGTTAAGAAAGTATTGAGCCCCTAAAGATCAAGCTAAACTGGGATGAACTCTCCCAACTCTGGTGCGGCTTGGCTACCCGCACCATCTTGCCAGGTGGCAAGGAACATTTTATCATGTATTAGGCATGGTAAGAACACTCAGCTGTCTGCACTCAATTGCTAAACAACTCAATGATTTACACTCAATATCCTAGGCTTCTTCTCCATCAACAAAAGAACGCATCCCTCTTTTAGAAGTAGTATTTATTTAGGCATAAATTTAAATGTATCCTTTGAATGTACACAACAAAAACAAGACCGTATTTTGCTAGGAAGGTTACCTTTTATTTAGGCTCTTTAAAAAAAACACAAACCTTAACCACCCAAATTATAGTCAGGCTCACTTGAGATTAAAGACAAGGAAAAGACCCTGATTTTTAAATTCATCCGTTCTAGTACCGTGTACCAAATTAGAAGTTCACTTGGCTTGGATCCAGATTTCTGCAGGCACAAGGACCCTTGGACTACGACTTTCCCACACTCCCCCTTTCATGGAAGCTCAAAGCACCTGTCGAAACCCTATTCCCTGGGGCCCCTCTCCTCCAGAGACGAGATGACAGGGAGCATCTGGGGCTGCTGTGGGAGGCAGAGAAATCAAGCCCTGAGGGTAGAAGCCCTTGTGCTCTCAGAAATATTAGTTTGCATCCAAACTATGAACCTGATCCTAGGTTGGCCAAGCGGACAGGAATTGTGTGGAGGAACACCTAGAAAAGAAGGTTAGGAAGAAGGGATGCGTATAGGTAAATTCCACCTATAAGTACTTTCACACAAGGCAATCCACCCCACTTCCCAAGGTTGGGTCACTTACAATTTTGGGACTTAGCAGAGGTAAAGAAATTAAAGATCCCTGGGCAATAATTTACAAGGCTGAGTCAGTGGTCCGGAAAGGATTAATCCCTCCAATCATCCCCCTCCCACTCTGATCCCGCCTTGTGAATGGTTCCCACCCCACAATGGAGGAACAAGATATACACAATAGAGGAACAAGATATACACAGGGTGGAGATTTTCGGCTGAATCCATTGGCAATGAGAACAGGGAAACAGAAAAGAAGGTGTAACAAGACCACACAATTCCTTATTATGTGACATAAGGGCTTTTTAAAAAAATCTAAAGGCTATGGGCACACAAAAAGGATTGCTGATGACTGGTGATGACTGGTGAGTTACTGAGTCCAAATTCAACCCATGACTTTAAAGGGAATTACACTTGATGTCTAAAGGAAAACAATCTCAGGTAGGCTGTGTATTCTGGTCCAGTTTGTGTTCAAAACACTGAAATCCTGGTTTAGAGCCTGGATTGTTGTTGTTTTTTCCCCCCAGCCACTGACACTGCATTAGGGTGACCTGACCTATCCTCCACATTATTCTGTCTTTCACTTACATGACTCTGGGCTTTTCAGGAGTCTCGTTTTCCTTGCTTGCGTGCTCCTGTTGCTTCTGGGGGGGGGGGTAGTCTCCCTGTGCTGTATTAGATTTGCTCCCTCTACTGGTTGATTCGATATTACACCACATTATGTCCACCATATCTCCCGGCAGATTTGAACAGCAAATTTTTATGCGGGACATAAATCAACCACTAGAGGGCACAAACCACATGGAGAACAGTGGGGGAAGCCTGAAAGCAAGAGGAACATACAGGCGAGGAGAATGCAAATGCAGAAAAGCCCCATTTGGATAAGGTAGATATTACAACAAGCACACAGAGGTGCACCCTTGGTACACACAGAATTCTGGGCTAATTGGGTTAGATTTTTGCCACCTTCCTCTTTTGAATACAGTCCCTGCAACCCCTGAAAAGCCACTCCTTGCGACTGGGGAATCTGCAGGACCAATCAGAAGAAAAAAATCATCAAAACCCCCCCCCCCAAACACACACAGCCCTCTTGCACAAGGTCCACAAATGGACTTGAGCCTTCTTCTTAATGGTACAAGCCTTCCAGCGCTGGTTAAAAACCATTTTCTTCCCAGAGCCCACTGAATAAATTTAACTAATCTATTTTTTTTGTTTTTTTAATGACTCTTAATATGCAATGTCTGGTTTATAGCGATTGTTTTGTTTTAAAATGTATTGTCATATTTACTTTTAGCTGTCAACTTCCTTGAGTATCACTGACGGAAATCTTATAAATAAATACTACAAAAGCAGTATATGTAAGTGAAATTGCTGCCAATTTCCCCTTCTGGCCCTTCACACCCACCCACACACACCCACACACACCTGTGCCATATCTCCCAATGATGCTCATGGATGCTCAGACCTCAGGAGCAAATTTTCCAGGAGTTGCACTGGGAGAGTGCCCCCCTCAAAGACCCTTCAGTCATTCGCAGAAAGTCTGCATCTAAGGGCCAAACTAAATGTGATGGAGGCCTTGTGGCCGCCACAAGTTTGGCGTCACCATTTTGAAGTGATTTGAAAATGCTGCAAGGGCTTGATCCTGATTGGGTCCATGGCATGGAGCTCTTGCCTGCTCCCACCCCTTGCCTTTTCAAGTGCCAAAACAGCCACAGGGTGGGTGGGGGAAACCGTTTAGTTTGGTTCTAAACCACTGAATCTTAGCACACACCCCTGTGTTGGTCCACATATTATCAACCAAAGCTTGAGTCCTAAAGTCTGCTTGCATTTGTACTCTGCTTTGTCTATCGCCAATGCAGACCCTCACCATGCAGTACTTTCCGGTTCATTGTGCGATGCTAATCCTGAACAAGTAGAAGCTTCTATTACTGAAGGAATGTGCTCCACAGTGAGCAGCACAGCGCAAACAAAGCTTAGGATCCAAGCCAAAAATTATTAAATCGGTACTGGTGAGGCAACCAATTTATGGTACTGATCTATGGGTGCTAACTGTGCAAAAATGAAATCTAATAAAGCAATAATTATGTAGATCCACTTGGAATTTTGCTTGAAGAAACTTATTACAGCAGAAGGTGTGCAAAGATGAGATAACATAATTTTGACTGAAAAAAGTGGAACTCCCCGTTCTTATCACTCGGTATCCTGCCTTTCCTCCAAGGAGCTGAGAGACCCATTGAATGAGGTCCCCCGCTGGTCTCATCTAAATATCGCTTTGCTTGAAATATCATCCTCAATGCACGGAAAGTGAATTCTGAATCTACTCTAAATCCCAAATGACTGGGGATTAATGGCTTTCATAATAAACAGATAAAGAAAGCAAAACCTGGTAAGCTTGGTATACCAGTTCAGTTTTTTAAAAATGTGAAATTGTTTACTCTCATCCCATTACTCCCTACAAAGAAAACTTAAAAATAAAACCTATTTCACATAAGCCATGATTCAGGAATCAAGTTACAATACCACTGATCACTGGTTATCTCTATTGAAAACCTAGATGATACCAAACCAGTATCTTCAAACCCATGATTAGAACAAAAAAAGTTACAGTATCAAAAATACATCTTTCATGTGAGGATAGAGAAAGCGTAACAGTTACCTGCACTGAACATTGGTTCCTTGGGTTTGCTGTGAAAATAATCAAGAAGAAAAAAAACTTTTAATGAATCTGAGATGCTAATTTTTCTTCCCAAACCCTCCTCAGCTTATACTCCTCCTGTCTGTTACCAGTATTACCACCCACCTTGACTGCTTCCGCATGGAGATTTTTCTCTCGTTTGGCATCAAAACTGGATTTTTTTAAAAAAAGGACATTCACACAACCTTGTCCCCTAATTGTCAACTTTCCAGGTTCTCCTCTGCTTTGCTCCAATCTTTCCCAAAGCTGATTTGACACATCCTCTTGAGGAAGGTTTTATCCCCTTATTTCATTAGAATATTTCTATGCTGCCACTTCAGAGTCATGTTTGAGGCGGCTTACAATTAAAACCATAATATTAAAAAAACAAGCCATTAAACAGCAAGCCATAAGCACATAAAAAGTCCCACCCATATTTGTAACATTTTCCTTCCCTCTGCCCCCCCAGTCACCTTTTCCTCCAGCATCACAGGAGGTCTTAAAAATTGGTAACTGTTTGATTGCTATAGCATTATAATGATCAATTGCCATTGTCTATGAGTTCCACTGAATTTCCGGCTTTCGTTTAAATAAAATAGTAAGCCTGCAAGTCTCAAGCCCTTTCGAGTATCTCCCCAACAAAGAGACTACAGACTTGATTTTTTAAAGTAAAAACTCAAAATTCAGAGGAACTGGTAGGCTGTGGTATTAGATCATTATAATGCAATAATGCTACACCAATCTAGCAATTACTCGTTGCTGTGTTTGTTTGTTTTTAAAGTCTGAAAAAGCCACCTGGTGCTGCAACAGAAGGGAAATTCAGAGGAAAAGTTATTAGAATCACAGTATCACAGAATCATAGAGTTGGAAGAGGTCTCCAGTGTCATCTCGTCCAACCCCCTGTACAAGGCAGGAAATTCACAAATACCTCCCCCACACACCCCCAGTGATCACTGTTCCATGCCCAGAAGATGACCAAAAAAAAAAAACCCTCCAGGATCCCCGGTCAAACCGGCCTGGAGAAAAATTGCTTCCTGACCCCAAAGTGGTAGTCAGCATTTCCCTGGCCGTGTAAGAAAGGGCCACAAGAACTAAGCATTGAGGCAACCCTTCCTGCCCTCCCTCTCATGATTTGCCTAAGTTCACAGAATCCGCATTGCTGTCAGATGGCCATCTAGCCTCTGTTTGAAAACCTCCAAAGAAGGAGAGCCCACCACCTCCCAAGGAAGCCTGTTCCACTGAGGAACCGCTCTGTCAGGAAGTTCTTCCTAATGTTTAGCCGAAAACTCTTCTGATTTAATTTCAGCCCACTGATTCTGGTCCAACCTTCTGGGGCAACAGAAAACAACTCCACACCATCCTCTAGATGACAGCCCTTCAAGTACTTGAAGATGGTTATCATCTCTCCAGGATAAACATACCCAGCTCCTTCAACTTTCCTCATAAGACTTGGTCTCCAGACCCCTAACCATCTTCGTTGCCCTCCTCTGGACACATTCCAGCTTGTCTATATCCTTCTTAAATTGCAGTGCCCAAAACTGAACACAATACTCTAGGTGAGGTCTAACCAGACCAAACACTGTTGTGCTCTCCCACCTTGACTACTACAATCTTCTCTGTTCATTGCTTTCAGCCTCCTTGATCCCTACATGGACTTCCCATCCATACTCAATACAAATGCCTTGTGAACGCTGAGGGGGATGGATGGAGTCACAAGAGGAGAGTGGGAGGAGGAGAGAGCACTTTCAGCTTCAGTGAGACAGGGTCACAACTGTATTGCTGCAGCTCCCGGAAAACTGTTGTTGTGGCGTTGTTAACAGATATGCAGACCACAGACATATCAACAGATATATTTTTTTAAGATGGGGGAAATCCTAGGCAAGAAAGATCGGTTTAAGACCGTGGATGCCATGTGCACCGTTCCTCTTGCTGCCGCCAGGGTGAAAGATATCATGTCCTCCTCTAAGATGGACAGGTTATCTTATACATATGAAGGTGCCATTGGCCCACCACGGTCAGTATCATCTGAGACCTCTTCAGGGTCTCAGTTGGAGGTCTTCCCCATCACTTACAGCCTGATCCTTTTAACTGGAGATAGCAAGGATTGAACCTGGGACCTTCTGCATGTAAAGCTGATGCTCCACCACTGAACCATGACCCCTCCCCCCTGACTGTGGTTCTTCATTCTTACTTTTGAAGCTTTTGGTGTCTTTACTGGGACCTTCGCTCCTCCCGCTCTACCATATTCAGCTGCCAAAAAGAATCTTGCCATCGTATCCTTACTGATTCTTAAGGTTGGGACTCCCCTTCTGTAACCACTTCTTCTCTGTCTTCCTTCCTTCTCCATCTTACAGCCCGCCTCCATGGAAAGAAACCTAGCCTAACAACTCGAGCCTTTACAGATTTGACATTCTTTTCACGTTTAACCTGGGCTACATTAAAGTCATCGCTACCAGTTAAGTATGCCTAGCTCTTTCCTTCTTACTCCTGCCTTGCTTTTCCCATTCACTCCCTCTTTCTGTTATTCATCATCCTTCCCCCTTTGGTATCTCCTCCACTGTCAAAACCATAACCTTCTTACATTTACTCTGTAAAATGCCATGACGACATCAAAAAGCCTTAAAATCTGTGGCTAACGTTAAGAGTGAAGTGGGGGCAAAGCGGAAGGAATGTAAAGAACTTGCCGTACCTTTCGCTGTTCTTTTTGCCACTTGATGAACTGCTCGTGGATCCAGCTCTATTACGGCTGACTTTGGAATCTCCGTAGCTTTCCCTCCGACCCCCAGGGGACACACGTTCCGTTGAGTTGGTTCTTTTGACAGTGCTATCGGAAATGAGGGGGAGAAAATGTCCATTTATGGTCAAGGAAACCTACACGTAAAGCTCTAGAACAAAAACAAAGAACAAAAACGCAGTGCCAAAACAGTAATCTAATTTATATGGAGCCAAACTAACTGGACCCACCTTTCGGAAGCGTGCTGAAATACGCGTGTACTTCATAACCTCTAAGTCAAGAATTATATACCTTCAAAAAAAATTACTTTAAGTATTTCCATTTAATCCTTAAAACTGAGTTCTCGCTCACTGCATTCTGGTCCCAGTCACTGCTGCACGGCACAATACCAAAAGAGAACAACACTTTGGTCAGCTCTCATTAGGGCTGTTTAGGCCACAGTTCAGTGACCCGTGAAAATGAGCGTGCCCAGCAGGCCTTTGTGCTTTGGTTTTAACAGCAGGCTCCTTGCAAACAGCAACAGGAGGAGGGGGACAATAGGGCCTTGGGGTCTGCTGTTCTAAGAAGCAGAAACAGTCAAAGTGCTCACTGGGGGTACACCGGCCCAAGGCCCCGTGACTGGCTCAGAAGGGTTTCTGAGTGGCATATGAAAGGGAATCTGGGTGGTTTCTACTCCATTGGGACAGAGAGCTTCCCTGGGAGAAGAGGTTGCATGCTTGTTGTATTGGGCCACAAATTCAGAGCAATGCTCTGCATTTCAGGCTTGCTTGCGGGAGGGGGGGGTTGTCTTAATGAGGCTGTTAAAAAAAGAGGTTCAAAATAGACTTAGAAGAAGAAAGGGAAATACCTGATGAATTATAGTTCCTAGACCACTGAGAAATGTCACTAAAGTGAGACCATTAGGTGTCTCCTCAAGGAATTATTAAGAATGGCACGTACATAGACATCAATCAGACGGCAAAGCAGAATATACGCAAAGGCATTTGAATCAATAAGAAGTCTAATTAAGAAATCCTCATTAAGAAGTAGGAGGGGTTAGTAAGGAAACAGAGAAAATAAAAGTTAATATTCCCTAACGTTAAAAGCAAATTTGAGAGGGCTAATTATGAGGATTGTTTTCAGCTGGTTCCCCCCCCCCCCCCAATCATTACTACAATTATTCACAATAATGCAAGATGCTGGTTTTTTTATCATGGACAGACAGAGAGTGAGAGAGAGGAAGGAAGAAGAAAACAGAGACTTAAGAGATATGACATTACAATACTAGAAAGAATCCCTCACCTTAGAGCAGTTTTTTTCATTTTGCATGCATTGAGAAGACTCACAGACCTGCTTATTCCATGAATGAGAAGTGCATAAACAAAGCAGAATAAAAGTGAATGCAGTAAAATAAGAATGTAAGAACAAGGAACATCAACAACAACAAAAAGTTACAAATACAAGACATACGATTTCATGCAGTCAACAGACAACCCTGCATGTTAGGCGCAGCAGGATTAAGGAACCCCGATGTTTAATGGATTCCCTGGTCGGCTGTTTTGACCACCTGAGCTAACTGCTTCTGGCACAAAGACACTGAAGGCTTTAAGAAGTTCGCAAAGAACAAGCACATTCTCAGTCTGAAGCTCTCTGTAAGGCAGACATGAGATGTCTTTGTTCTCAAAGCAAGAAATTCATGAATTTCCCATGGTTGGCAGGGGATAAAAGGCAGAATGTAAACACTTTAATAAATAAATGCAAAAAGCAGAACAGTAACCCATAGGAGAGAGGCCGAACACTCAATACTACAGCAGCAAGGAGAAGAAAAAAAGATAAGAGAATGTTAAGAGAGACAAATAATGAATGATGGTACATAACCATTTGAAATGGCAGATATCCAAAACCAAAAATCTTTATAATATATGTAAGGTTGCCAGCTCCAGGTTGGGAAATACCTGGAGATTTTGGGGGTGGAGCCTGAGGAGGGTGGGGTTTGGGGAGGGGAGGGAATTCAACAGGGGTACAATGCCATAGAGTCCACCTTCCAAAGCAGCCATTTTCTCCATGGGAACTGGTCTTTGTCTCCTGGATACCAGTTGTTATCCCAGGAAATCTCCAGCCACCACCTTGAGGTTGGCAACCCTAAATATATGAGGGCAAGAAATGAAAACTCTTGAGGCATTCTATCTAGTAATAGGTCATTGTGTCTTGAGTAAATACTTCTGCATAGTCAGCACAGCCCATATCAGGGGACAGCTGACGCTGCTATATTCTAGGAATGTAGAACACCCCCTCCTTCTGCTATAGTAATTAGTGTGTTTACTTTGTGTGTGTGCCTGTGAGAGAGAGAGAGAGAGAGAGATCAGTGGGAGACTGACCTATGAAAGGGGGGCACCAATGCGCTATTAACGTGGCTTTTTATTTATAAATTGGTGCACATACTCTGTATTTTCCCTCCAATAAATACATAAACAAGCCGGTTATACTTTTAGCATTTCCTTGACACGGTCTTTCCTTTCTTACTGAGATAACCTGGAAAAAATACCGTAATGTGCCATAAAGTTTTATATTATTGCCTTGAACGAAGGGTATTTTTCCGGTTGTCCAAAATATTTGTCAGTTGTGTTGAAACTGTGACCCCCCCCCTTTTCCTTCTCCCTCTCTTTCTGTCTCTCTGGAGACATTCAGGTAATTCTCATCCTTTCTGCGCACAGGCCCCCAAACACACTGAACCATGCTTCTTCGAGTCTAAAAGTATATTGTGCACTTACACCCCATGCAAACATCACAGTCAAGTATGAGCACCTGGGGATGCCCAAAGCAGGGCAGGCACACCTCTTATGGGCAGGGTGACAAAGCATGATCTTTTAATCATGCTATGTATAGGGGGAAGGAAGGAAGCCCGGCATCTTATCAGGACCTCTCTTGGGGGTTTTTAAAATTATTTTCAACCCAGTCTCTACCTTTCCCTCCTGGACAGCTTCCCCATCTTGATTCATAGCACAGAGACTCCTGTGTTGATTAGAACCACAATAGAAACAACAGACCTAGTATCCAGAACAGTGTGACAGTTACTGTGATGGGGACAGGGGCATGGCTCAGTGGTAGAGTATTTGCTTCGCATGCAGAAGGTCCCAGCATCTCCAGTTGAAAGGGCCAGGTAGTAGGTAATGTGAAAGACCTCTGCCTGAGATCCCAGAAAGCTGCAGCCAGTCTGAGTGGACAATATTGACCTTGATTCAGTAAATGGCAGCTTCGTATGTGTGTGTTAGTAAATGATCTGTCCAGTGCCAGGAGCAAGAGAAGGGTCTTGAAGCATCCAGCGTTAACACCATCTCTGGTTTAGAGATATAACGTACCACATAACTCTGCCTCCCATTTTCTGGCATGTTGGAATAATGGCAGCGGAGGTGCAGACATAGCCTAATGCATTAGGGGTTTCTTGTGCTGATAAGAACCCTGAATCCTGGCACTACAAAAGTTGTATCTCACAGGCTTTGCTTCTTTTATATCTACAAGTTGTTCTCCCTTACCCCCAAACCCTTATGAACATTTACTGTCATCCTTGGCATAAAACAGAACTAAACAAAATATGACCAAAGAAGTGAAAAATGGCTCGGCAAGGAAAACCAGGGAATACTGAAAGAAAAATCACATTCACTTGCCTCTTGAGAGCATGAATTCTCATCATAACAGAACTAATATATTGGACACATCTAGAAAGGCGAAGAGGCAAACATTCTGGAAAAAAAGGAGATCTCTAAAAGGATTCCTCTGCATGACAACAGTAGAAGACAGACTAGAGGTGTTTGGCTTCATTGATTGCTTGCCATTGTTGAAAATAAGCAGACTGCAGAAAGTTAAGGTAACGGGAACAACAGAAGTCCCATCTTTGCAAAAATGTAGCAAGAAAAACCAACCAGAATATTGTTCAGCCATCTTTGTGGTTTCTGTGGGTATGATAAAAGAAACCAAGGTGTTTTCTTCAGGACATATCGCAAAACCTCAAAGGACCAAACTACACATTGGTGTTTTTAAAGTGTTGGGTCAGGGTTCCCTGGACCAAACTCAGTTTCCCCACTGCTGCTTTGGAGAATGGCTTAAAAATAAATAAATAAAGGAGAGCCCAAACAAGCTTAGAATGCCACCACAGGGGGAGGAAGGCCTCCTGCCTTTCCCCCTGAGCCATTTTCCCGTGTGGAAACAACTGGAGGGAGTTATTTCCCCATTTTTTGCTGCTCTGTATGGAGTATCCTGTGCACATGGCGCAGCCAAAATGGCGAAATAACTTCTCCTCAGTGCAATTTCTGCATGGGAAAATAGCTCAGGGGAAAGTAGGTCCCCCTTTGGCCCCCTGCAGCCTGTTTGGGGCTTCTGTTGTGTGGCTGCAGAGAACCCTCGTTGAGTCTGGGTTCCCCAGGGCCACCTTGTTAAAAACCCAAATGTGTTGTTTGACACTAAGAGGTTTCCTGTGCTTAACCTCAAATTGCACAGGAAAGAAAACAGCCACCTACTTATGTGCTCCTTTAGAACTGGAATTTCTTGCATCAACTTTTACCCTAATTAATTAACCTAGCATTAATCACACTGAAGATATTGCTATGAGGTTCCAGAGTACTTTAGTTTACTTATCTAGAAATTTATCTTGAATGTATCACCTTGGAAGCCAAAAAAAAAAAAAAAAAAAGGTATGAGAAACTGAAGAAAGGCAATATTACACACATGGTAGATATTGAATACCTTTTTGCTGCTGGAGATACAATCTCTTTCCTGGTTCCTGATGGGGAAGGCAGAGAGCCGCTGGGCTTCTTTGGTAGAACAGTTCCATTATTAACAGTAGTCTTCAAAGGCAGTGTTTGTACTAGGGGTCTTGCTATAAAACAAAGAGAAGGCAAAGTGGCAACCCATCTTTATAAAGTTCATGTAGCAAAGAATCTTGACGGCAAGAATCAAATGCCATAATATATGGTTTGCAATTTAAGCTGTTTTTTTAAAAAAAAAATATTTAAACCACAATAAGCAAGCGCTTAATTGACTCTAACTACCAACTTGCTGCGGTGGCTCAAGTGGTTAAGACGCTGAACTGCAAGCTGTGGAAGGTCAGTAGTTCAGCAGTTCAAAACCCGAGTTGCCGCATGACGGAGTGACCTCCCGTCTCTAGTTCCAGCTCCTGCCAACCTAGCAGTTCGAAAGCAAGAAATTGCAAGTAGATAAATAGGGACCACTTCGGTGGGAAGGTAACAGTGTTCCGTGCACCTTGGTGTTTAGTCATGCCGGCCACATGACCACAGAAACGTCTTTGGACAGCGCTGGCTCTTCAGCTTTGAAATGGAGATGAGCACCGCAACCCTAGAGTCGGATTCGACTGGCTTTCGAGCAAGGGAACCTTTACCTTTACCAACTTGCAGAGGCTCAAGTGGTTAAGACACTGAACTGCAGACCGGAAGGTCTATAGCTCGGCAGTTCGAGACCCTACTGCTGCGTGACGAAGTGAGCTCCCGTCTCTGGCCTCAGCTCCTGCCAACCTAGCAGTTTGAAAGCATGAAGCTGCAAGTAGATAAATAGGCACCACTTCGGTGGGAAGGTAACAGCGTTCCGTGGCGCTTGGCATCTAGTCATGCCGGCCACATGACCATGGAAATGTCTTTGGACAGTGCTGGCTCTTTGGCTTGGAAACAGAGATGAGCACCGCATCCCTAGAATCGGATTCAACTGGCTTTCGAGCAAGGGAAACCGTTACCTTTCACCTACCTACCAAACCGTTACCTTTCACCTACCAATGCACCTACCAATGCAAAGACTAGTAAAAGACAACGTTTAAAGGTGCAATCTCTGCTTTCTCTGTACGCAAGCTAAGATACCGATCAGGCTTCACTGAAGACCAGCCTAGCCCTGTCCTCCCCTACCTTCCCATACGGCCTCTCTCCCTACCCTGTGTCACTGCCAGAGCATTCACCTCAAGGTACTGGTTGGTTTGGGGTGCGTCAGGTTTTCTGGTTTTAGAATATTGGCTTTTATGTTACTGGCATTTTAAGAATTCAGGAGTACTAAAGAAGTTTTAGGTTGTTTTATATTGCTGGTATAAGAAGCGTTTATGTAAACCACCTTGAGTTCACCGTGAGGTGAAGAAAGGTGGTATTGAAGTGCTTAAATAAATAACAGAAAGAGCCTCTCATGCCTTATGTTGAAGCGTTCGGTGACCTTGTCCTTTCCAAGTGTGTAGGGAAAGCAAAGGAGACCTTAGCTCCGTGTGGGCTATACTGGCCTCCCAAAAAGCCACTCCACCTCCTAAATGGGTCCAAAAATATTAAAAACGAAGCACTAATTCTGTCCAGCAGTGTCTCATAAGTATAACATGTTTGGTTTTCCATCAGTGGCGTAATCATTTCACAGTCTTCTTTTGTTGTTCATTAACATTTCCATGAGTTGTGTTCAATATAATTTTTAAAATTTTGGGGTGGTTTGAAAACAGTTCAGCACCTGCTTGCTTTCAGAGAACAAGTTCTAAAGCACAATCCCACTTAGTCAATTGTCCTGAAGAGCAATATTGCTCTTCCAAAAACAAAACAAAAAAAGCAATTTACCTTATGTCTTCTAGACTGAACATCAGCCCCCCCCCCCCCAGTTTTTAATTTATAGTTTAATTTTGGGTAATGTTATTCTGAACTGACTGTTTATGACCTTTTCTCCCTCTACTATGGCGGTATAAAACCCTCAGTTTTATCTTATTTTTATCTTTCTGTAACACCATGTCATGTCAATAAAGGTCTATGATGATAAAGATATTTACAAAATTTATATTCTGCCTTTCTGCCCTCATCAGGGCCACCAAGGTGGATAACAGATTAAAAACATACACAATAAACATGTAAGGCAGATGACGGATTAAAAACATACACATATTTAAAAACCATTAAAGCATATTAAAAACCATTAAAATCAAACAAAACTATATCATTTGAACAATAAAAACCAATGATAAAATACACATACAGACTCATAAATACAGTAATTAATTTAAAACATAGGGCAGGAAGGAGGGCTCACTGAGAGAACACGACACAAAACAAAGTCATCAACAGAAAATGGGAACAGGTGAGTCTCTCAGGGCCGGGAGTTCCAGAGTTTTGGTACCATGACTGAGGAGGCCCTCTTCCGAATTGCCACCTGGCTGATCACAAAAGGCAGGGGCAACCAAAGCAGGGCCTCGAGAACATGAAGGAAGCAGTCAGGTAGGTTCATAAGGAAGTAGGAGGTCCTTCAGGCATGCTGTTCACAAGCCATATAGGGATTTGAAGGTCAAGACCAGCCCCTTGAATTGTGCCTGGAAACAGATTAGGAGCCAGTGTAGTTGGGCCTTGGCCTCTACACCCACTCCAGTCAACATCCTGGCTTCAGCATTATGCACCAACTGAAGTTTCCAAACACTTTTCAAGGGTAGCCCCACGCAGAGGGCACTGCAGTAATCTAACCTAGATGTAACCAGGGCTTGTACCATAGTGGCCAGATCTTTGCTGCCCAGGAAAGGCTACAGCTAACTAATCAAAGCTAGTAAAAGGTACTCCTTTGAGACTGGTCCACAGTTACTGGAACCTCCTGGGACCAGGGCAGGCATCTTCAGCAGTGGACACACCACAGCTTGTTTGAAGGCTGGGGCAAACACCCCGTCTCTTAAGGAGCCATTAACTACCTCTCAGATCTAGTCAGTCAGTCAGCCAGCCAGCCCCCCCCCCCCCCTCGGGCTGATTTTAGTAGCCACTTGGACAAAAAGAATTCTTGGCCTTTTACAGCTACACCCAAAGGAAAACTGAACAAACAGAAAGTAGACTGTAAAAATCTTGAAGACGGCACTTCAGCCAAATAGTAGTGATATACCATTTTAAAAAACTACTCATGAGAACTGTAACAGAGAAAAAAATGTGCTAAGAATATGGACTGTGTGTTCCCAAGCCCTAATATACACAAGAAGGTGTGATGCATTCACAGATATCTTAAGCTAGCAAAAACATCCTCATTGCACACACTGAACAGCTCCTCAGGGCTGAAGAGAACTGCAATGCAATGCAATAAATAAGAAAGCCCTGTCCACAGAGCTCCATATGCCCATCCACAGCTTTTCAACAGGGGTTATTTGCTGTCAAAAATTGGGGGAGGGGCCAACCTCTGCACAGCATTGTGGTGCATTTTTGCTTTAAATTAAGGGAAATATACATAGATTCAGTTACTTCATCATGAACAAATAAAACAGTGTTAAAATATAAAATTAAATTACATTTATGGCAAATATTTAAAAATATTAAAAAGCAGAACCATTTTCTGCATTTTTTCCAGTGGTATAAATATCCTTTTTGGGGGGTGTGTGGTGTGAGTGGTCCAATGAGGTTGCACCATCAATTTATACAGGGCAGGGCCAGTATAAATGTTGTTCCTGTTGGTCTTTTGGGGTTTCTGTGCAGCACCGTGGCATGCTTGCACTGCCACAGTGCCACTTGTTCTGGAGTGTGCCACTTGTTCTCATGGCAAACAAGCACCTCCCAAGACAGTTCACTTTCCCTGAGATTCTCTGGGAGAGTCTGACTGCTGGGTGCTGCCTGCTTGCTTGCCTTAACTGCTGTTGGCTGGGTTTCCCCATTGGAAACAATGGAGGTAATGGGAGTAACCTGTTTGGGTGCCCATAGCATTGGGCCCACTGGTCTAATTGCTTTGGGACATGGGGGTTTATGTGGGGAGAGGCTCCCGAAGCTACCCTGAAAATTTTGAGCCTCTCCCTCAAACCCCCTCCCCCCCAGAGCCACTAACAGCACCGTGGGGAAAAGTAACTTTTTTCCCACCATAGAGAACAATGGAGGGAATGGGGGCAACCTGTTTGGGGCCCCGTAGAACTGGACTCCCTGGTCCAATGTTCTTGAAACTTGGTGGGGGAGAGGCTCCAGCAGCTACCCTGCGAGTCTGGAGCCTCTCCGTCAAACCTCCTCCCCTCCAGCCCCCAGAATATTCCCCTATGTTTTTGCCACTGACTTCAATGGCTCATAGAATGTAATGGGGGCAAAATTGACATTGGGCTGGCCTTGACTCCCCAATCCATCCTACTGCCGAAATTGACATACCGTAGTCTTTCTGCCTGCGGAAACTGATTATTATTTTTGCACACCCCTATCCGAGAGTCAAAGCTCCCTTCATCAGGTATCTAATGAAGAGGGCTTTGACTCTGGAACGTGTATGCTCTGGAAATCTTGTTGGTCTTCAAGGTGCTATTGGACTCAAAACTAGCTCTTCTACTGCAGACCAACACAATAAAATAAATAGATAATAAATAATTTTGTAATCTGATCTTACTGCATTGTTTATTAGCTCGTCTTATACTGCTCCTATTGCATTGTTATAAAATTTTGTAGTCTAACCCCAGACTCAGTGAGAAAGGTGAAGTTTACATAAATAGATGATATTTCAACGAACTGTACCAACTTAAATTCACTGGAAATTAATCCACAAGTTTCTGGAAGTTGTCTGTAACAACAATGAGCTGCAAGGAAAAGCCGCTTTAAAATGCCTTATTAAAAAAATGTAAGCAATTCTCAAAAATCAGAAAGAAAATCATGCATTCATGTGACACTATAACTACAAGCCTTGGACTAATGCCTTATTAAAAAAATGTAAGCAATTCTCAAAAATCAGAAAGAAAATCATGCATTCATGTGACACTATAACTACAAGCCTTACAGTGAAATAACTACAAGCCTTACAGTGAAATCCTAAGTAAAGTTACTCACTCCTAAATGCACTGGTCAATGGACTTCAAAGGGTGTAAACTCTGCTTAGGACTCCTAGAAAACCTTTTAGACGTGGGGGGGGGGGAATCTGTCATTTCCACAG